GGCGCCCCCCCCCCCCCCGCCCCAGGCTCTGGTGTGCAAGGGGAATGTGGGGAGGGTCTTTCTCCGTCCCAGTTGGGGATCACGTCAGGGAGGGGCTGGTTTTCCTTTTTTGCTTCTCACTTGTGTGCGGCCCCCGACTGATTTTTCTGTGGGTCAGCGGCCCCCGACCCAACACCGGTTCCCTGCCCCCGATGTAGGGGATCTGTGTTCTTTTCCCTTCAAAGGACTGACTCAGGCACCAACCCTGCTACAGGACTGCACGGGGGCTTACCCAGGACAACTCGTGAGGCCGGCACTTTGCTCCCCTCCGAAGGACGGAGCGTCCCAGCGAGCCGTGTGTAGAAGCTCGCTCTGCTGAACGCCCACGGCCTTTGGGAGGGGCTGTTATTCCCCTCAGCCATCCCGGCCCTGCTCCCGATCGGGGGATCCCTGTGGGCCCCCCCGAAAGCAATTTGCAGCTCTGATCAGGACTGCAATGCAGCAGCAGCTTTCATCCCCCTTGGCACCAGCTGGCAGTTACCTGAGGTAGCCCAGGGTCTCTCTCCCCACAGGACGGTGTAGCTCTCTGTGAGGGGCACCCCTGGCTGTGATCACACCCCGCCCCCAAGCACGCAGGCGTCTCCCGGGCCCAGAAGGCAGATCACTGCTTTCCTGTCCCCTGCAATCTCGTTGCGACAGAGGGCATGGTTACAGGGAGGCAGGGTGGCCTAGCCCATAGCCCCCAGGACTGCGGGATTCTGCCACAGACTGCCCATGTGACTTTGGGCAAGTTGCTTCCCCGCTCTGTGCCTCAGTTTCCCCTCCTGTAAAACGGGGACACCGCTAGCAAAGGGCTTGGGTAATCTAGGGATGAGGCATGCTAGAGACGAGCCAAGAGTTCTCCCTGCGGTGGGTCACGCTATTTGTCAGCACAACTCACTCTGTCCGTGGGCCGGGCCTTGAACTCACGACCAGTCCTTTGGCACTAATAGCAAGACTCCAACCCTTCAGACTCCCCTATAGCTCCCCCCTCCCTTCCAACTTCTCCCGGGCTGCTGAACAGCCTGGCCTACGCAGGGAGTGGCGTTAGTGTGCACCGCACACACACGGGCGGCTGCATGGCCTGAGCACTGCATGGCCACGTGGGCAGCTTTCCTGGGGGACGTAACCCCCCCTCCGCCTATTCCCCCCACGGCCCTGCCCGTACTCCCCGCCTACTCCACCCAGGCTCTGCCCCTTCCCTTTGTGAGCCCCCTTCCTGCTGGGCCCCCTCCCCATTGCCACTTGCCACTTCCCTCCTCCCCTCCCTCATCACTGTGGGGCCGGGTGGGGGGAAGAGACACAGGGAGGGCCCCCACAGAAGAGATGTGGGAGCAGTGGAAATCTTTGAAGTGGGGAGTGGAGGAGAGGAGGGACTCCCTGGGCAGCAACGGTCCCTCTTTTCCCATCCAGGTGTGGAATAAATGTTGTTCCGTGCACCAAGGCATGTGTGGATGTGCACCACCAGTAGAAACACTGGCTGAGGGTGCTCCGCTGATCAGCTGGGTGGCATTTGAATCTCTCCTGGGCATCTGCCCAAGCGCTTGGCTTCCCAGGAGTCCTGCCGGGCAGCAGCAAGTGGGGGGGGGCCTTGGCAAAGGAGCTGGAATGGGAAGAGACAGAGCGCAGGGACCACCACAGCCCAGTGCCTGGGGGCGGGACAGCAGCCAGCAGCCGCCCCTGGCCTCGCACACTCGCTGCCCATGCGTGGCTGTGCGTGCACCGTCCTTGGAGCGGCGATGGGGCCACCGCCCCGCGAGAACAGCGGTCCAGGAGCGTTCTGGCCCCCAGATGCTTCAAGAGCCGTCAATGCTGGTGGCTCCTGGGGACGACGGGCAGAGGGGAGTTCTCCGTTGCTCCCACCGAGCACGGGGCTGGATTCTCCACTCCTCTCCTCCCAGGCAGGGAGCTGCTGGTCTGCTCGCCTCCCCCGGGGGAGCCCAAACGGAGGCTGATGCGCAGCCAGCGTCTTGCTGCTCCCAGAGTCCTACTGCTCCCAGGTCTACACAATCTGCCTGCCCCTTATCAGATGAGTCCCAGGGCCCCAGCCCCAGAGATCCAGCCACAGCGCGTAGCTCAGCAGGGCAGGGAAATGCCTCTGGGCCTAACAACAACAGCTCTTTCCTTGTCAGCGTGGGAAGTGGGGGGCTGACCTGCCCGGCAAGTGGACCCATGGGGCATGCAGGTGTAACCCACATCCCTAATGTGGCTCAATGTCCTGTGCAGTGGCACCTAGACCACAGCTAAGGCCAAGACACCTCTCCAGCAGGGGCTGAGAGCCAGCTGGCTTTTAGCGCAACGGCTCCTATATTACGCTCCAGAGGTCCCAGGTTCAAATCCACCAGGTGGTTCTACCTCCCACGAGGTGCCGCTCATCTCCAGCGACTTCCCTTGCTTGGGACCCTGCACACCCTGGCTATGTCTACACTGGCGCGCTCTTGCGCCAGAAGTATGCAAATGAGGCTAAGCGTGGAATATTGCTGAGCCTCATTTGCATATCTAATGAGCCACCATTTTTGCAGAAAAGGCTCTTGCGCCAGAAGGAGCGGGTACACGGCCCCTTCTTGCGCCAGAAAAACCCTCTTGCGCAATGCCGTTATTCCCGAAAATAATCAGCGTAGCCGATCAGAGGTGCCGCAAAAATGGTGGCTCATTAGATATGCAAATGAGGCTCAGCCTCATTTGCATATTTCTGGCGCAAGAACCCGCCAGTGTAGACACAGCCCCTGAGTTTGCTGCTGGAGAGGAAGAGCTGTTTCCTCCAGCCCAGATCATTCCACAAGGCTGCCACTGTATCAAGCCCCAAGGAGGTGTCAAGAGGGGGCCCTGGCTGTGGTTTGCCTGCTCTAGCTTGCCTGGCAGTGGCAGTGTTCCACCACTAGGGGTCACTGCAGCCCATCTGAGTGTTGCAGCTTGGGGTGCTGTCCCTGCCTGGGGCATGCTGGACAATATTCCACTTTCC